CTCGCGCGCCTCGACGCTCGCAGCTGATCGCGAGACGACAACAACGGCTCCCGACGAGAGCAAAAACGCGACCACGCGCCAACGGCGTAACGTCGCCTGTAAATAATTGTAAATAGCTTTGAGATTAGAATATAGTTCCAAATTATTATCACCTATACCACTGGTTTTCATTTCACACACGAAACCCGGACCACACCGGCTAAGACTATCCCGCACGTAACGCAAGGCCGTTACAACAATATACATATAAATGTATATGTATATTGTTATTAAATGTGGATGTGAAAAATTTAGTCTCCTACCACTATTAAAAACATAACTTATCCCAGGATGGAGCACCACTTCCATTAGGCGTACATAACTCTATCAGATATCTCATAGATATCAGATATCTATCTCCACGATGAATGTCTAATGGATGTCTATATTACATTCAATATATATTTATGTATCATCCATCATGGATATCGATTATATCATATAAGTCAATAGTTTTTCGTTGATCAATCTTTAGAAATAATGCAATAAACATATAATAATATATTCATATTTTACTAAATAATTTGTTAAATTTTCAGTTGACATGTGTTTTATATCTATAAATGTCAATATCTATAAATGTCTCACATAATGTCTATGAAAAAATCTTATATATATCTGTATAAACTTTAGATTGTAATATATGATATATACAGGCTGTCCCGCATAAGACGTCCAAGAAGAAAAATATAAGTAGAACAGATAAAAGTGAAAAATATGGTATAAGTTATTTTTCGAATAACTACGTAAAATTTCGAGTTATTAAATAAAATAGATGGTCTAAATAGAGCGTGATGCGATGGGCGAGCCATATGTCCCGCCTGTCGCGCTCTGATTAGCTCATCTATTTTATTTAATAACTCGAAATTTTACGTAGTTATTCAAAAAATAACTTATACCATATTTTTCACTTTTATCTCACATAGAACATTACATCTAATATATGTATATTAGAGAGCTAGAGTTGATATGTATATATCTATTAGATGATCTGTTAAATATCTATATATGGTGAAAATGTCCGCCTTGTATACAGATACTGTATGTATACTGTATGTATAATAGAAGTGATGCGATAGATGTCTATATATCTATTAGATAGCTATTTACGTAAATATCTACTAAAAACAAGAACATTTTATATATATATTGGGTTGGCAAATAAGTTCGTTCGGTTTTTTAATCGGAGTAGGTTTACTCGTTCTGCTATCTCTTTTCCACAGCGTTATCGCACAACGCGCTTGCGCAGCTGAAAAGCGACGTTCCACCTAACCTATTTGTAAACATACGCCGGTTAATACCAGAGTATTGTGCGTACTGCACGGTTGCAAATATGGAAGAAAAGAACGTCCATTTTCGCCATATTTTACTTTTTTATTTCAAAAAAGGCAAACGAGCTGCGGAAGCTCATAAAAAGATTTGTAATGTGTATGGGGACGATGCTTTAACAGAACGTGTGTGTCAAAAATGGTTTGCCAAATTCCGTTCTGGAGATTTTGATGTTAGTGACGCGTCCCGTTCTGGTCGTCCAGCAGAGATTGATTCAGCTGTAATAAAGAATACCGTCGACAAAAATCCATCGCAAACAGTACGAGAGATTGCTACGACACTTAATATATCCCACACAAGTGTAGAAAACCATTTGCGTCAGTTGGGATACGTTTCTCGCCTCAATGTTTGGGTGCCGCACGAATTGACCGAGGCCAACTTAACCGCTCGCATTTCCATCTGCGACGCGCTGCTGAAACGATCCATTTTTGAAGCGGTTGGTTACGGGAGATGAAAAGTGGATCATCTACGATAATGTAGTACGTAAAAGATCATGGGGAAGCAGCAGTGAACCACCACAAACAACCTCGGCAGGATTGCGCCCGAAGAAAATTATGCTCTCAGTGTGGTGGGATTATAAAGGTATCATTTATTATGAGCTCTTACCATCAGGCAGGACGATCGATTCAACTGTATATTGCTCCCAATTAACGAAATTGAATCAAGCAATACGTTCAAAACGTCCAGAATTGGCAAATCGAAAAGGAGTCGTCTTCCACCACGACAATGCCAGACCCCATACTTCATTAACTACTCGGAACAAATTGTTAAGGCTTGGCTGGGATGTTTTACCTCACCCTCCTTATTCACCGGACCTGGCACCCTCTGATTATCATTTGTTCCGGTCGCTGCAAAATTCTCTGAACGGGAAAAACTTTGCTAATAATGAAGCTGTTAAAACGCAACTGGATCAGTTTTTTGCCGGTAAACCTCAGACGTTTTATGAATGTGGGATTATGAAATTGGTAAAAAGATGGCAAGAAGTCATAGAAAAGAATGGTCAATACATTATTGATTAGTATATATTTTGTATATTAAATAAATTGTATTTTATACCAGTCAAAAAAACCGAACGAACTTATTTGCCAACCCAATATATAATATACGTTTATACCCAGTAAGCAAATTGAGCGCAGACTGCGCGCAGATTGGCAGCAAATTTGATCAAAAACCCACAGCAAAACCATAGCCATCTGTGTCTACATTAGGCTACGGTTTTGGCGACAGATATTGCTGTCGGGCAATTGATGCCAAATTTGCAGCAAAAACCGCACAAAGCTTGCAACGCAGCAAGGTCTTCGCGGTTTCTGCAGCCAATCTGCTGTCAAATCGCTACAAGCTCTGCGCGGTTTTTGCTGCAAATCTGCAGCAATTATCCGACAATAAGCTCTGCCGCATATCTGGCGACAATTTGGCAGCAAGATTTGATATAACAGATCCTGCATCAAATTTGTTATCTATTTGCCATCAAAAGTTGATAGCAAGCTCTGCTCGAAATCTGTTCGCGCAGGTTTGGCTATCTGGGTAGTTGATACATACAAATATCTATTAGATATCTAATAGATATGTAAATAGCTATCTAATAGATATATAAACATCTATCACATCACTTCTATTATACATACAGTATCTGTATACAAGGCGGACATTTTCACCATATATAGATATTTAACAGATCAACTCCGAACATCTAATAGATATATACATATCAACTCTAGCTCTCTTCTAAAATATACATATATTTAGATGTAACTGTTCTATGTGGGTAGATATCGAAGGTTATCAACACATTCTAAACTTTCATGAATCCTCCTACGATAATTTCGATCCCAAGCGGTAGAAAAACACCGGCCACCATCCATGTCCTGACCGCACTAAACTGTTGCTTAAGGGGATGCTGAATACCGACATTATTTATTTCTCACTATTCTTCCAGACGGCTGCATAGAATTGAAAATGCTTTTACAGAGTATAGATATGCCAATATGTAAAACAGCCTAATAGCATAAAAAACAAACAAAAATTTTATATTTATTTTTTATACGCCATATTTCCGTTTCATATGAAAAATATTGAATGAGTGTGCAGAAAATGAAAGTCATTTTGTACGCAGGGGACATTAGTGAACATTACGAGGTCATCAGATAATGACTTGAAGGGCTAGATAAAAAAAATAGTGAAAAATACGGTTTGCGTGCACGCATGCGGACGTATATTTGGGACTCCTCATTATTACGGTAAGGAGGAGTGGTATTGTAGTTCCAACGTTTCCCCAGAGAGAGCGCTGACTTTCATCACGCACGAAGCGCATATAGAGGATTCACATCACGTCCGATGTCCGACGTACGACGTCCGATATCCAATAGGAGAACAGCTTTCTAATAGAGAATCCAATTCTCCATTGGAAAGCTGTTCTCTTATTGGATATCGGACGTTGTACATCGGACATCGGACGTGGTGTGAATCCTCCAATATCCTTTTTAGTATACTGATGATGATCTTTCCAGAGGCCCAATTCCAGATTCAATATGCGAGCGAAATACGCATGCGGAAATCTATAGTATATGTAACGTGAATTATAAATCTTCGAATGTGCATCTCACTCGCACGCCGTCAGGAATCGGGTCCCAGATACACGTCCGCACGCGTGCAACCAAATCGTATTTTTCATTATTTTTTGTATGAAGCTCTTCAAATCGTAATTTGATGACCTCGTAATATTCACTAATGTCTCCTGCGTGCAAAATAACTTTAATTTTCTACATACGCACTCACAATTTTTTATATGAAGCGAAAATATGATTCAGTGTCAGGTATATAGGGCGTATGTCAGATAAATATTAAATTTTTGTAAAATGCGTGTAAAATAACTTTCATTTTCTACGTACGTACTTTTAATGTTAAAAAAATATATATAAATATATATGTTTGGATATATTCCATCTCCGAATAAAAAAGATTTCATACATAATTATGTAAAATTATATAAAATTATATATAATTTTACATTATTACATATAATTATCTATGAAATTTATCCATACATGTTAATATATGTTACTTACATATAATCATATATAATTATATATACAATTTCATATATAATTTAACATAATTATGCATATAATTATATATAAGGTAATTATTAAGTTTAGGCTCCTCACCTTCGATTTTGACGAAACTAGGCTCAATCGACACGTTTTTTAAAAAGAAACAACTTTTTCCTCTAACAAAATCGTCGCGAAGCGAGATATTTAGCGTTAAGTTA